TTTGTGGACTTTGAGAAAGCTTTTGACAGCGACCATAGAGGCGGTCTGTAGAAAATTTTACGACATTATGGAATTCCAGAAAAAATAGTCAACATAACTGCTCTCTTCTATAAAGACTTTTCCTGCAGTATAAAAAATTACATTACATCTTTCCAAGTAAAGACGGGTGTAAGACAGGGATGTGTTATGTCACCTCTCCTCTTCAACCTTGTGTTTGATTGGATCCTAAAGAACACAGTAGACCGGACATTAAGAGGCATTCGATGGACTCCATTCACCATGCTTGAGGACCTTGATTTTGCAGATGATATAGCACTCCTATAACATAAACATGAACATATACAAGAGAAAAGTAACAGACTAAACTGCACAGCAGAAATGGTGGGACTGAAAATAAATACAAAGAAAACTAAGATCATGACAAACAGTCCAAACCAACAACCAGTGACCATAAGTAACCAATCACTTGAAAATTTAGAACATTTCACGTATCTTGGCAGTGGGGTGTCCCTACTGGGAGGGACAGAGGAAGACATACAGTCACGTCTGAACAAAGCTAGAGCTGCTTTTGGAAGGATGAGGCAAATCTGGAAATCCAACAATTACTGCAGAGGAACGAAACTCCGACTCTAAAAGATCATCATTTTGCCAGTTCTTCTCTATGGAGCGGAATGCTGGAGAATGACCAAAAAGGATGCACACAAGCTGTCCACCTTCCACCACACATGTCTACGTAGAATTATCAAAATTTTCTGGCCAGATACAATCTCAAACACTAAACTACTTCAAACCTCAAACCAAGAAACTTTAGACAGTATGATTACCAAGAGAAGATGGAAATGGCTTGGCCACGTTATGAGAATGACTTCTGATATACCTGCCAAAACAGCTCTCACATGGACACCAGAGGGAAAGAGAAAAATGGGCGCCCAAAAACAACATGGAGACGAACGATGGGAAGTGACCTGAGTGCGGCATCTTTGACATGGAAAAATGCATTGAAGATTGAACAGGACAGGAAAGCATGGAGAGTCCTCTCTGAAGCCTCATGTGCCACTAGGCATAACGAGAACTGGTGGTGATGATGACCATATTAAGCACCCCTCCACCCACCTCCCACAAAAAATAAAACGGAAAAAAACCTAATATTATTAAAATGTTATACATATGAACTATAGATTCACGGGAAATAAAATGTTTTGGCCTTATTAAACACTATAATGTCGACTGAGTGAGCAATCTCCCATTGGGAAACGGCCATTACTTCCTGAATTTACCATTTATGCAGCGAAGAAAGGGTCTGTGGGCCTAGGGATTTTAGGACCGCTTGGCTAGTGCGGTCGCTAGGACTATGCAGTTTACGAATTTCTTTCCTGCCGATAGAAACCGCCCTGCCCCTTTCCCCCCATAACCTCACTGATAAGTCGAACAGGAGCCTTGTGCATGAAAGTCCAGAGCATTCCTAACCGATTGGCCAGGTGTGGAAAGAGAACTTCTTTGTTCACCGCCAATAAGCGCCGGTGGAAAGTCCTGGTTATTCGTCCATTTAGACTTTGTGCCAGGGCCTGAGTTGTGCTTGTACATCCGTTTTTACGGGCTTATTTGTGTGCAGCTGGTTACTCCTTGACGTTCCGGTAGATGCACTCCGACTTAGAAGGAAGCTCCCATTTAGCCGATTCCTACGACATAATTGTTGGATGTGTTGTTGTCTGACCCACAATGCATCCCCCGGTACCCACACGGAGAGGCGGGAGAATAGTATGGGGGGAAAAACACTGTAATAGAAGGTATGATTCCTAGATGACAAAGCACGGGTCGGCCATCATGGTACATCACTCAGGGCATTAAGGACGTCTATCGCATGCGAGTTCACAATAGGGGAAATTTTAGCCAAGGATGACGGGTCTTTCTGTCGTACTGTGTGGAGGGCGAGATTGTGCAAAGTACCTATCATGTAATGGTGGAAGTGATGATGTTGTTGGTTGTGGTGATGATAATAATGATGACGACGATGTTGATGATGATACTCACAGTTTTGAAGAAGAGTTAGACAACTGAAAGGATTGGGGTACATCCAAGCATAATTTCCCTTATACCATTTTCTTTTATAAATCCTGGAAAGTAAATGCGGCCGGCGTGATGGTAAGCAGATCTACCGTCGAGTGCCGATTGGTTTGTATAATATACATCTAAGAATATGTGTCCAATACGCCTGCAGACGTTGAAAGTAGTCCTTTGCTCTAAACCCTCTATAGTTAAGTTATGCATTCATTGGCTGTCACCCTTTTATGCAGTTAAGATGTACCGTTATTTGTTCAATATGCCACCCAGTTTTACAATTTACTCTCGTTAGTTTATTCTACCTTTAACAACTATGTTGTATAGTTGCATGTTGAATATATCCTGTAAAGTTAATATGTACCTAATTGTTGAATCTACAGTCTAGAAATAAAGTGAAGTTGAATTTTGAATTAAGAATAGACATCATAGCACTCAGGGCACTCCCATAAGCTCTCCTTCCCCATCTTTAGCAGCAAGCGAAGAGTTCCAGTTCCCATGACATTAGTAACTGTCTGATTGTATATCCGTCTCGCCTTTCCCTTGAATTTTGGGGGTCGTCCAGATCGCCTGGTAACTCCTCGCAGCCGAATTCTCAAAGACGTTAATGATCTATATGTGCCTCTGCACAGCTCACTCGCTCCCGAAGGGCTCTCACAATATCTAGCTTGTCATACACTAGTTCATCACCTAGTGGTGAAGAATCAGCTAGTCCATCTGCCTGTTCATTTCCCAACACACCGGCATACTCAGGAGAAAATATCCAAAGAATGCTACCTAGCCGGAACCTCTGAAGTGAAGCTTGCCACTCTTCAGGGAGCATATTTTTACTTTTTAAATTAAAGTTAAAAAAAAAAAAAAAAAAACGAACCCTTTTTTAAGCCAGTGGCACATCGGACATATGAGTGTCCTATTTTTAAAGCCCGAACTGCAATAGAGGGTTTATGTAGTTATCAACACGCCAGTCGCTTTTCCCCGTGGACATTTTCTGGTATCCAGTTTGGGCTGAGTCGACATTAATACTAATGCCAGTTCTTAAAAAATAAACATATCCCCCTCGATGTGGAATTGAACCTAGCACCTTCGAGTCGACAGTCTATAGTTGTTATAATTTATTGTATAGTCACTCCTCACTTTAGTGGAGAGAGCACACAAGAAACGGAATGAGAATGAAGGAAGAAATGAATGCAGAAAGGATGAGAGCTAAGCTTCTCAGAAGAAACTCTCTAAATAAACACGATGGCAACAATGAACCTGAAAAGCCATGCTCTAATTGTGGAGGACTTTTCTTAACGCCACCAGGTCTTGCTAGTCACACTCGCCAACGCCACGAGCTGTGAGTACTATGCCTCATCACTGCACAGTATAACACTATCTTCTCTAAGGACCCGGGAAGGCTAACCCGGTCAACAAATGCCCGCAGAAGTCGGATGTGTTGGCCGAAAGGTGCAAATATCGCAGTCATGCTGTAAACGGACACAATGCAATTACATTTTCGGATGAACGCAGAAGAAGAAAAAGAATCTCTAAGGACGGAAAGGTGCCAGCAAATAACAAATGCCACAGTCAAATTTTATGTATGTATATATATATATATATATATATTGTTTGGACTTTGACATAAAACAAGACATGGTATGAAGGCTACATGATGTCGAAATACCTGAGCGAAGAGATCAAAATAAAATGGGTCGAACAAAAGAGGGGTGAAGAAATAAAACAAATGAGAGGATGGCTCTATACTGGAAACATTCTAACGTTAGACGAACTGAGAGTCGCGAAGCACACGCTGAAATTGGAAAATGAGGTTGTGGGGGTGGGGGGGGGGGGGGGGGGGGGGTGTCGAGGAAACGAGAACGTCAAAAAAAAAAAAACCCCTAAAGCAAATGTTAATGAAAAAAGGCCAAGTTGTTGAACTGGATTACCGTCCGTGATATCAAGGTGACTGCGCTGGATAGAACTGAATAATAGACTGCGAGTCCTCTGTGGCATATAAGGACACAGTTGAAAAATGGATTAAAAAAAAAAAAAAAAAGCCTATTCAATACAGTTTTGTTACCTACATTGTGTTATCAGTGCCAAAGGTGGACGTTAATAATAAAAGACACAAAAAATTCACAAAAACATAAAAAATACGGCTAATCCTAAATAGCCCAGAAAGGACAGGATCAGAAGACGGTTGAAGAAGAAAAAAAAAAGGTGGGACACAACCAATGTTAAACTACATCAAGAGACATACAGAAGAAATGGTTTGGATGTGTGTCAAGTCTACCACTAGGCAGTTGACCACAGAGAGATCTGTCACTTGGACATAATGAGACAAACATAGAGTAGGTCGACCACACAAGCTATGGCTACAGGGAATATCCGAAGCCGTAAATAGCAGCATCTACATAGCACATACCAAGGCTCTCATCCCTAGCTCTTCAAAACCTGACGCTGAAAGGCAATGCAGAACTTAAAGAAGAGGGGGAGGGAGCTGAGGAGAAGAATAAGAAGCAGTAGGAAGAAGAAGAAGAAGAAGAAGAAGAAGAAGAAGAAGAAGAAGAAGAAGAAGAAGAAGAAGAAGAAGAAGAAGAAGAAGAAGAAGAAGAAGAAGAATGAATGAATGAATGAATGAATGAATGAATGAATGAATGAATGAAATAAAGATCCTTTTTCACGCCTTTAGGCGCATCGAGCATATGGGAGAGCACCATATTTTTCAAACTAATCTGCACTAGATGGGTAATGTGGAAAGCATCCGCCGGCCGCCTTTACTTCCCCAGAACATACATCCTGGTGCCCATTTTAGGCTGGGTCGACCTGCGACGCCCCAAACCATTATAAAAAATACACGCAGCCAGCAGTGGCTTTCGACTGCGGTGTGTTGCAAATACGATTCGGACTGGCAACGCCTGTGTCACAGACGCCGCGAATAAATGAATAAAGGAGTTAGAAAGTGTTAGTTACGTTATATATTTTAGTCATTATCTCTCCTGTTTACAGCTATGCGGACTCAAAATGCAGCAGTACATATGGACCCATCGAAGCTTTTCGCTACTCGAAGCTCGTTCAGGTTTTCTTCGGTCCAGTGTGCGACTACTCACTGGCCGCAGTCGCTCGCTACTCGGCAGTGTGGAAGATTCCTGTTGTTAGCGCAGGCGGTCTCTCTCATGACTTTGGTATGGATAAAAGAGGTAAGCACAAACTGATCCTCAGGGCATCAATATTGCTGCAACATTAAACTTCCTGATCCCAGATACAAGTGCATGGTCCTCTTCCCAAAACGTTTAGAAAGTATTGGGCAGAAAAAGCTATCAATGGACTTACATAAACCTGGACTCCTTATAAAGTAAGTAAAAGTAAAGATCCCTTTACACGCCCTTAGGCAAATCGGGCATATGGGAAGAGCACCCATATTTTTACAGACCAATCAGCACTTGGTGGGTTATGTGGTCAGCATCACGCCGTCCGTCTTTACTTTCCCAGGACAGCCTATCCTGACACCCATCTGAGGCTGGGTCGACCTGCGACGTCCCATACCACGATAAAAATCCACACAGCCCGCAGGTGGTTTCGATTGCGGTACGTTGGATTACGAGTCAGACTGGTAACGCCTTAGCCACGGACGCCGCTGGACTCCTTATACTTGAGTCATAAATAAATAAAGGACACGTTTCCCTGCCTTCAGGTGTATTGGGCACAGAGTGCTAGAAAAGTATTTTTATAGACCAGTCTGAACTCGATGGGGATATGCCTTTACTTCCCAGGACTGATGTCTGGTATTTACTCAAGGCTGGGTCAACCTGGGAGCCAAGGTCCTGTTGAAAAAAGTCGGTCTTGAACTCAGGACCTTCTGATCCGCAGATGAGCGCCTAGCCGCGACACTATGGCAGCTCCCATTGAAGACATTACTATTCTTCCGACTGAGGGTGGTGGGGGGAGGGCTTGCGTGATCTCAAGGCATGGCGTCGCCTCGAGGGCTGGAGTTTCTGTGTTTAGGCCCCGGTGAAGGCTGGGAATTTTTCACTTGGACTTCTAGTAATTTTCCCTGGTCTGTGGGTAGTAAGATCGGACGCCAGTGTGTATTGTTACACATGTAAAACATTCCTTGGCAGCTGGAAATCGAAAAGAGTAGCCTAAGGTCGCTGCCCGGGCAAAATTTGAAATTAAAAATCGACATCAAAGTATTTCTGTATACCTACATTTCCGGAGACTCAATTCGATTTTACAGAAAAAACAACGAACGGAGGAATCGATTGCTAGCACTATGTGACACAACAGAAACGGTACAAATGCATGATGGTGATGATGATATTGATGCTGAGGGTGAAAATGATGCTGATAAATGCTCAGTTTTACAAGATGTGATTACACAACATTCACAGTAATTATCACTTTTGATTTTTTGTCAGAGAATTGCCGACTAAATCGTCTTGTCATTTAATTCTGACGTCCGGTTCGACGTCCTTACTCTTTTACTGTTGCATACTTCCATCACGCACATAACACATTGTGGAGGACTGACAGTATTGGCACTACCTGTGGTTGCAGTGTGCATATAATGTATGTGCGTGCTGTTTGCTGAGACAAAGCATGGAGTACGTAAAACTGTCCCATTAAGTTGGTAATAAGCCTGGTTTCTGGCTTTTGCTAGGCAAACAAGTGAAGTTACGAGATGGATCTGCTGGAACTGCACAAACAACAACAACAACAACCAGGATGACGGCGTAAGAAGAACACGACGAAAACCATGAAAACTGCTAAAGTCACATTTTCATTTTAAAAATCCTGAAAAGAAAATGTGAGGGCAGCGGAGCAAGAATTATTTAAAGATTTATGTGGGATGAAATACAAAGGAAAAAAAGAAGCTGGGAACATACCCTAGGACGAGAGACACAGAATGTTGGGTATCCATTGCAGCTAACCTTTAATTTGGAGAACAAACTTCTTCATTAACTGAAGTTCAGCACGCGACGACCATGTACGCTACAGCCTTACCAAGAAACTGATCTAACTGACTGGTATCTATTTCTTGGACGTACGTCGATCTCTCTCTCTCTCTCTCTCTCTCTCTCTCTCTCTCTCTCTCTCTCTCTCTCTCTCTTTCTACTTCTCTCTCTCCTCTCTTTCTGTCTGTCTCTCTCTCTCTCATACACATACATCCACTTCCCCTCACTTTCCCTTTCACCTCTCACTCTCTCTTACCCACATACAGCCACTCCCCCTATCAGAAGGGTATTATAAACCCTTCCCTTTGTGTGTGTGTGTTTGTTGTTAATGCTTGTAGTGAATATATGAAGCATTGAACTGAATGTAATGTACTCAGGGATACAGAAGCAGACCTGGAATGCACCATGTGCACGAGAAATCAAGTATGTCGGAAACGACTCCTCTTCACGCCATGCGGTCTATTGGATTATAGATCATCATTATTTAGCAAGTCTTTTGCAGAACGTCGCTCTCGTAACGGTCTGCCTGAAGTAAACTTGATCTGTCGACACCTATCCCATCTTGTGCACATTCCTGCTCAAGATGTCACTTACATCCTGCGCCCATTTTCGCGCTGATGGGTACACGTCCCTCTTTCTTGGTACCATGCCTTCTGTTGTTATTTGTTCCAATCCGCACGTGTGCTTAATATGGCTGAAACTATACAGTTTCCGAGACAATATGTTGTTCACTGGCCAATCTTCCTACATGTCTAGGTCTTTTAGGATGTCACTATTTCTTGCTTTTTTTTCTGGTTTTATGATATTAGCTGCATATTCTTAGAAAATCGTCACTCTAGGAAGTTGGAGAAATACCACATGCAATGAAGTCAGTCTTGTTGACTTTAAACATTGAAAGCTTGAGCTATGTATCTGGTACTAGCCCTGTCTTATTGTAGTCCAGGCTGAAGCTCTTTGAGTTACAGGTGTTTAAAAAGTTTAAGCCACAAAGTTTGAAGCAGCCAGTCAACACAGCTGAAAGTTAATTGTCTCTTTTCCAGATCCACAGGCAGAATACAGAACTTTGACCCGAGTGGGCCTGACATCCTTCACCAGTATGGCCCAAGTGACGACCACAATACTCAAAGTCCACAAGTGGGAAAAGGTCCTTATTGTGTACGAAGTATCCGGATTCCCTCAAATCCAGGACAAGTTTTGCTACCTGGCCGTGTCTGCCTTGGTTTATGTCAGCAAGGAGGACAAAGGTATCAAAAGGCCTTTTGAGTTTGCTATGTTCGAACCACACAGACATAATTTGGCTTCAATCTTGGTTGAAAAAGTTGGTCTCAACTATGGTGGTAAGTAGTGGCTGCTGGTATGTATGTATCTCTGTCTTTGCTCATGCTGTGTTTGTTGTGATCGCAGCCGTTAGAAGTGTGTACAATGTAGGTCCTATTCTATGAGACGACGAAAGCTTGCAGTGTTGTTCCAAATGCTATGACGTCGTGACTTTGCTATATAAATCGTTCTCTTGACGTGCAATATTGATGACGGTTGCTCCTATGCCAGTCGGCCTTTTTGGCTAAGATCAAAGTGTAAGACTTGGATTTGGACGTGCAATATTTTGGGAATCAAGTGGTAGTTAGATCTCAGTGATGCGCGATGCTTTGATTTCTACACTAGAAACGTTATCAGTAATGTGTGATAGTGTGAATTGTGGCGTAGTTAAATATCCA